GTCCTGAAGTAAGTTAGGTCGTTAACCCTATTATTGGCTGTATCAAGAAAATCATGGATTAATTCGATCAATCGGAGCCGTCAAAAATTAACCGGGGCCATAATAATGCACACGTTTTTTATGTCGGCGACACAATATCCCTCAAACACCATTCTAGCTTATTGAACCTGATCCAATGTGTCCGCTCAGGTATCCAGCACTGACCAACAGGGTGGTTTACGGCTCTTGCCATGTCGGGAGCGTCCGGCACCGCTTCAAGACGATCGACAGGGGCACCGACCCTGCGGCGCCGGGACCGTCGGAAACAGCCTCACCGGGCAGGCGGAGGTGGGCGTCAGGATACAGCGTGCGTGGACGGAGTTTCCCGTGCTCAGGGCGCTCGCGCAATGCCTGATACGGACTGAGGGAACAGACGCCTTCATGCGACGCTGGCACAACTCCACCAGTGCCGGCCGGCGTTCTATGCTGCACGGCTGCCCTCAAGCCGAGGGGCGAAACGCCACGCGCATCGGTGTTCAGCCAACGGCAGCGTCGCGCCGCCGCCCTGCCAACCTTCGTGGCCGGACCCGTGCCTCCGCTGGCGACGGGCCAAGGTGGCGGCAGGACTGCGGATCGCGGCTAAAGTGCAGCAGATGGCCGACGAGCGGCTGCACTTCACAGCCTCGCTTAGGCTGTGCGACTGCAAATTGTGCCCTTGGACGCTAAGACAATATGCAGCGACACAGACACAACGTGGCCTCTTTCTAGCAGTGGCGAGCGCCTTCTATGGGTTTGTTTGCTAATACTGTTTCTGTCGTGATCGTTGCGGAGCGCAGGGAGACTGGGTTTATTTGGAGTGAAACGCAAAGCGTGTCATACCTGGCGTTGAGAGATACATTGGTCTATATCATCGAGAAAAGATAATACAGCCGGGCAGCTTTTGTTGGAACTGGGCTCATTCGGAAACTGGTTTGGCAGCCTCCGATGTATGACGTGATGTGGCTTCCTTTGCGTGCGTTTATGTGTCTCTTGCTCTGTATGTGTGTGTGTGCGCCTGCTGATTCCGTGGCATCATTGCAAATTTTATGAGGTATACACAACTTCAAATGTGGGAAGCTGAAGACGCTGTCAGGAGGCGGGCAATTTATAGGTTACATGGAATCATAGACGTAGGAACGTTTCAAAAAGTGTGTGGGGGGGGGGCTAAGCTCAAGGTGTATTCAGGAACTTTTTCTGGGAAGCGAGCCCGATGACCGGAGGGGAGGGGCAGGGGGTAGAGATGGAGGTTGTTATCGCTCTTCATTCAAATGTTATGCCTGCTATGCGAGATATGCATCTAGAGCTGTTTATCACTGGTGCACAATCTTGCCTTTTTCACTCATCTGTCATTTGGCAAATATGGCTTTCCAGCTTCCCTAGATTATTTGTTCATTTTAACATTGTCTTTCCTGGGGAGGCCAAATTCCACGAGCGGGTAGGCATTTGGGGTCAGTAAGGAAGCATCTGCCTCCACAGTGTAGATGCCAAAATACGGCCTGCATATAGGCTAGTGGGAATTTTGAAAGTGGGTCGATGGCTCACAGTGCGACAGGTTTTTCATGCGCCTTCATTTCGCTGGCTGCTTTTCAAGAGATGAGGCTTGTATCATTTTAGGCGGAAACAAATTCGAGAGCTTGAAACTGCTAGAAACAATGTTACAAAAGCCATAAGACCGAAGATTCTCTTTTAAGAACCAAGCGCTATAATAAGGCCCATCTGTCATATGTTCCTTATCTGGGCCCTGCTCCTGTCCGCCGTCGTTGGCCACCGCCCTGGCCCGAATGCCTGCCGCATGACTGACTGCGAACTGATTGTATCACTGCTTTGTTGCATACTTTTGGACCAGCGTTAATACTTCATGGTGTGTGAAACATGTGCTGCACACCTGGAACAGTATCTTTTTCCGAATTATCTTCCCTCACACCACACCATCGCAGAAAAATAGCCTCCGCGAAGCCGTCTGCCTTAGGTATTAATTGGTCCAACGGACACTTCATTGCCCACCATGCAACGTATACGACTTGATCTGCTTTTGTGTGTAGGCAAGGGCGTAGCCAGAGCCTTGCCAAGGGAGGACGCAAGGTTGACAAAAACCATCTTATGGTGAACCCCCTCTCTCAATCCCCGGACATAGCTTACTTGTTAACAAGGGACACAGTTTTCTTCCTTTTATTGTTATTTTTACCTTGTAACCAGAACAGAAACCAGGAGCTACCGTGAGCTCAATTCTGTTTGTATTATGAGAGAGAAATATATAATATATCTAATATATATATATAATATATCTAAATATATAGTATATTATATGTAATATAATATGTAATATATATAATATAATAAACTGCAAAAATTAGGCGTTGAGTGACTGCATGTAAGAGATCATCGGCACGCTTAACTTACAATGGCTAGTTGACTCTTTCTAAACCGATAGGTTTCAGAAGCTTTGTCAAAATTGTGATCTGGGTTCTACAGACATTGCGGACATCGCGAAGACAGATTGTAGATCGATGTGTTTGACCCAAATTTGAAGATGAAAATTGATTGAAGATCAAGTGGTCAACAACGCGTATTAACATGGCCACGCCACGTTTGTCTAAGACTGTTCACCATTCAGTCAGAATCGATTAGTGCTACAATTTATGTAACGTGTTTTTTACATGCGCGCTCGCAAATTTTAGCAACGAAAACCTCGACACCAAGCATTGCAGTCTCCGTGGTTCGCCGAGCGTTACCCCAATAACTAATATTTAGCCGTGGCCCATGGGTGCACGAAAATGATGACGGTTCTGAAGTGATTACCTCGAAACACTTAAATCGACTAGGAGTGCAAGTCATGTGACATAATTGTGAGCACCCGCACTTGGAAATCTTAGAAACTCCAGCCTCGACCCCAGGCGTTGCAGTCTCCGTAGGGAGCGCAGCGTCAGCCTATCAGCTAATATTAAGTTGTGGCCAACGGATGGACGAAAATGAAAACGCTTCTGAACAACTATTCTTGAACGCTTCATGACATCAGATGTTACATTTAGAAGGCAGTCTTAACGCATATTTCACGTGTGCAATTTTTAGACTGATGAAAAGTACGGATTGGCCCTTAAACCACCGTGAAGTGGGGCTGGAATCTGGTGGTTGGACTGGAAGAGTGAAGTTAAAATCTCTATTTGTCGCGTTTTGCAACTATCCATCTATCCAGAAGACATATTGACACGGCGCCCGCCGTCTGGCGGCACTTGCAGTGGCCAAAACTTTTCGGTTTTACGAAAGTTGCAGCCCAGACCATCCTTGTCCTTGCTCTTGAGGTTGCCGGCGGGCATGTTCAAGCCTTCTGATGTAATTTTTTCAATAATACATTCTCAAAAAATGAACGTTCTCAGGCAAACATGGCATGACCTTGCTCGTTTTTTAAGCTCATTTCGACCTACTCTATTCAACAGTAATGAGACACCCATTTACTCGACAATAACGAGGCCCCTTATTTCCTTCTGGGCAAGGAGCCTCTCGAGTAGAACACCAGGGTTACCTTACCGTTTCCGGCAAAGGGCTGAAGGGCCATTCCGTCCCATCGCGAAGTGTATTCTGGCTATCATTCTGGTGGCACGGGTCGGGATCTCCCGGTCGATCCGGAGGCCATTAGAAGGATATATCATATCACATTGTTCCCATTCCTGACATGGGGGGCCTTCTGACCCGTGCAGTTAGCCCCGCATCAGCACAGGAACCCTCAATGACGCAACAACATCCCTGATCACCGCAGGTAGTTCGATAGTTGTCACATAGATTCCAGTTCCGCGTTCTTTCTGTGTTCTTCAGAGATATTGAGTTCTCCTTGACTGTAGATTGTAGATGAAAATGGGTTCCTAATTTGTAATAGCATGACTAAGCCATGTTCGTCTTAAAATGCCCAAGATCCTGTCAGAGCTGATTACCGATAAGAAAACTGCGTAATACGGTGTTGAACATGCGTGCTCGCGAGTGATCGCAACAACAGCCTCGACGCCCGGCGTTGCAGTCTCCTGGCCGTGCGGCGTCTGCCTTGCGGCTGTAACACTAAGCAATAGCCAATGAGCAAGTGAAGAATATGACGCATCTTAAGGGAGATGGCTGGTGAACTAGATTAATCGGCATGCATGCTTAATGTAGTGCAAAAGTAAGCCAAATGCGACCTTAATCTGAAAAGTGGTGGGGGGGGGGGGGGAGTGCCAGTTAACATTGCTGCCCCCCCTCCCCACCTTGAAAAGTGGGGGGCCATGGAATGATGGCGACTGTTTTAATGCGGTGCACAAGGCCAAATATTGAATGACTTCGAGCGCGCGCGCACACGAGCAATGCTCGAAGAGTCGTTTTGCAGCTCGCGGCGCCACGGGACAGCCAAATCACAATCGTCGAAATCAATTTGACGAGGAGTTTGCCGCTCTCTCCCTCCGCCCGTTTCCAGAGCTAGATGCTGATCTCCATCCAACACGTTGAATACGATATTGGTAGGCCATGACCTTGGGAGATGTCCGGCATCGCCTTGGAACTAATTGAGAGGTGGCTGCGGAATGCAGATCCTCTGAGCAAGTGGAAGAGTGCTTAGCGGAAACCATTGTTGCTGTTGTTTGGTGCTGAAGCTGAACCCTAAACTTTCTGATGAGGAATATTTTGCATACGAGGGTTCCCCGGAAGGAAATACAAGAACTTCCTCGCTGCCCTCCCACATCCACATTGGGGAGTAAAACCATGTGTAGCATTTTTTGTCTAACGCGCCTCGTTGCATCATTCGTTTTGGCTTCCAAAACCGCCCCTAGGAAGTATTTGCTTTCTCAGAGGATAAAAGAAAACGCTATTATGCCTGCAGGAGGCCTTCGCATTTAGTAGCGCATATCGCTTTCGTCTACCTGGCAGTATCACGGCACCATTTATGGTGAATCCCAGTCAGTTAGAACTCCCAGGTTGATCTTGAGATATTTGGTTAAAAAGTCTCCGGCGACTGGGATCCAAAAATACGCCTGCTTGCACGCGAGACCGTACGCACGCGTGTGCGTAACGCGAGTCACGGGGAGAAGCAGTTGGAGTCCGGTCGTGGGATTCTGAGCAGCTATTACAGTATGTATATAGCGGAAAAGCTCCTGCTGTTATAGAGGCCCTTCTCTGTGTTCATATGACAGCTGGATTGGGTTGTTGATCTATCGTGCTGAAACGAAGAGTAAAACTTGCTAAAATAGGTCTTACAAAGAGTGGAAATTTTTCATGCGCTCGGGAGGCTCACGTTGTGCTGACGTGCTTATTTTGTGTTTCTTAAAGGACTTTGGTAAATTGCGGTAGTTGCACATTATCTAACGATTTGCTTTGCTAGACATGCAATGCTGACTATTCTTGCCGGTTGTGCTGGAAGTAGCACTCTGCTATATGACTTAATATAGCAGTAGCTATAGCTATATATATATATATATATATATATATATATATATATATATAGCTGCAGCAGTAGCAGTAGCACTCTGCTATATGACTTCATGCTACTTCTGGACATTTCTTTGTGATCTAGTTAAGGCATGAATTTTTTTGGATGGTTGTGTCAGAAATAATAAAATTGTCCTAACTGCCATGATTCAAAATTGTGTTTGGGGTTGTGGCAGTGTAACTCATTTTTGCATACAATTTTTGCTCATATACATTCAAACTGTGTGAGCTAAGGTTTAAATGTACCAAGGTGATTTCTGAGATACTTCTTAAGTACTTAGTTCATGTAAGAGTACTCTTAATTTATCAATCAGCTATAAAAGTACATCACTGTTTTCTCTCTCTGTGGTCTGCAGTGAGTGTGGATGTATTGCAGCTGCCATCTAGTACCAGCAAGGAAATTTGCATTAAATGTATGTGAATGCTGGTGCCTTTTTTCTTTCTTACAATGCATGGCAAAAGGTTATGTTTGTGAAATGTTATGATTCAAATTGATAGTGTAGTTGCATCCATGTATTGTGCTACCTCAGTATTGAGTTAAACTGTAATGGCCTACAGCTTATTGAATGAATTGTAAGATCACAAAGCCACCTATGTGTTAGCTAAGGAAACCCTCACCAGTCAGCATGCTGACAGCAGTGATGACTTCTGTAATGGCCAGACTTTGTTTCCCCCAACTGGATTGGAAAGTGCACCCCTGCTTCATGTAGAGAGTGAAAGGTGTGAGATATCAGCAGTGAGCAAACATATTCAAAGAAGGCATGCTTAGCATTTTCCCAGATCCGGCAATACTGCTAGGAGAAATAATACAAAGTGAGTGAAAATATTTGAAAGTGAGGTAAAGCAACAGATACAGATATTACTAAAGTGGGCAATTTTGTTACAAATATCCTCAGAAATAGCCAGGATATAACTTTTTTCTGCTTAGGAGGTAGGAAAGCATAGGCTTAAATGAGCTTTTCTGGAAATAAGCCTGCTGGGAATAGACTGATTATATGTCTGAAAAATAGACCTGATTGAAGGCCTTTTGAGATGAGGCCTTTTAGCCTTTTGAGAGGAGGCCTGTTATAACCTGGCTTTGTGTCTAGGTGTTAAGTCTGTGGGTCTGCTGGTTGCAAGTTATGTGATTATAGCTTTTAGAGCCAACTTTGATCCAATGAAATGTGATTTCTTTAGATAACTTTGTGTCTGACCGTGGTAGATATTGCTCTGGAGGATGTTTGATTTAGTGTATATGATAAAAATAGAAACAATAGAGGTATTAAAGCATTTTGCAGGGCAGGTCATTTATACCCCCATGTTTATGGTTTTGGGACTATGAATGTGCTTTGCATGGGTGATTAAAGTGTAACTAATGTTGTGGTGTTTAAAGCCTATGGCTCCTCAGACTGGATGTATGTGTGTATGTATTATGGTAGAAGGAAAAACACATATCTGCAATGAAGACACACATACAAAACACACCTGAGTTATATGCACATGCATGCACACATGCACACACATACACCATGGTTTAAATTTTTGCTTACATGTCACCATATTCCTATTGTTCACCAACTTGTGGCAAGTGCAGTACTTTAAATGATACAGCCAGTTGTTCTTCTTAAGTGTATGTTGAGGGGCTGTTTCAAATTATAATGCTATAAATAGTTAATTCATTGTGCAGTTCCACTGTTTATGAATACAAAGTGCAGAATCCCAAAATGTAACCTTTCTATTCACACCTACATTTCAACTTGGCCTCTGATAGCACCATTCCACCACCCTAGCTCCCATGCTATATTATCATAACCAATACACCATACCATGCCATGCTGTAGCAACATGTTATCATGCATATGTTTTTTATGGTTGCATGTAGTCAGTTCATCTGAATCCCACCACCTGCCCCACAAGAGTGGAGTGATGTCTGTAGGCTGGTGCCAGTGCCCTGTGTGGGCCCGGGCCGAACTGCGTCTGGCGAGGGTCCGGCAGTGCCCACTCAGGTCAATGTGAGATGGTACGTCCGGTGTCGGCCGGCGACACCGGAGCCGCCGCGTGCGGCGTCGCCGGCCGGCTCCTTCCGGTCGGCCTCGGCGCCCGCTGTTGCCAGGGTCGGCACCGCGCCGCGCCGGCCGACACCGCGTCCGTGTGTCGCCCGGCCGCTGGCTGGCTGACTGGCTGTGTCCGTGCCCGGCCGCTGGCTGGCTGACTGTGTCTGTGCCTGGCTGCTGGCTGGCTGTGTCCATGCCAAGCAACTGGCTAACTGGCTGTATCCGTGCCTGGCCTGGCTGTATCCGTGCCTGGCCGCTGGCTGGCTGTGCCCGTGCCCAGCCACTGGCTGGCTGTGTCCGTGCCTGTCCACTAGCTGGCTGTGTCCGTGCCCATCCGCTGGCTGGCTGTGTACGTGTTCGGCCGCTGGCTGGCTGTGTCCGTGCCCGGCCGCTGGCTGGCCGTATCCGTGCCCAGCCACTGTCTGGCTATGCCCGTGCCCAGCCGCTGTCTGGCTGTGCCCGTGCCCGGCCGCTGGCTGGCTGGCTGGCTGTGTCCGTGCCCAGCCACAGACTGGCTGTGTCCGTGCCCGGCCGCTGTCTGACTGTACCCGTGCCCGGCCATTGGCCGGATGTGTCCGTGCCCAGCTGCTGGCTGGCTGTGTCCGTGCCCGTCCATTAGCTGGCTGGTGTGCTCCTGTCCGTGCCGTCCGCTGGCTGGCTGTGTTGCCCAGCCGCTGGCTGGCTGTGCCCGGCCGCTGACGACCGTGCACATTTCAGCGCGATGCCGCCGATGCCGCCGTCGCCGGTGCCGACGGTGCCGCCGACCGCAGCCGATGTGTGCCCCGCCCGGCGGCGCACCCTCTCCAGCTCGTCCCACTCGCTGGACCCGGCCCAGTTTGTGCGGCCCGACCTGCCGGCCAAGTGCAGCTGGAAGGCCGGTGCGCCGGCCGAGCAGAGCCCGCACACGCGCCGCTCGGTGTCAGTATGGGAGAGAGGGCAAGGGCTCGGTCTCAGGGCGGGGGGGGGGGGGGGGCGGGGGAACTTGGAGGCTTTGCTCTGGTGGTGTCAGTGGTTTGATGACAGGGTCATTGATGGTGTTTCGTGGAGTGGATGTGCTGGTCTGCTGAGGTTACCCACTTCCTGGTGTCGGTGACTGAGAGAGTGAGATCTGGGGACTGGGGCACTCAAAAAGGTCTGCCGTTGCTTGTCTTGTCGGACGATGACGGCATTGGAAGTTGAGTATTACTGATCCTGTATCTCGCAGAGCAGGAAATGCTTGCTGCTGTGAATGACCTAGCCATGGTGGATATTTCTTAGCTTTCGTTTGTGGGCTTGACCGTTGGAATCTGACTCACGTAGCCCATAGCGGCAAGGCTGGTGTACCATAAGATTGCAAATTCACAGCTGTTTCGTTTCCGGTGCAGGCGAGAGGAGTACCAGATCATGCCCAACATTCTGCATCAGATTGGCCGCACGCCTATGGTCCGCCTCAACAGGATTCCACAGAGCTTAGGCATCAAGTGTGAAGTGTGTAAGTACTCATTGGACCAACTCTGGTGTATTTATTGCGCTGTCTTCTCTGGTTTGACTGGTGTTACAAGCGAGTGGTTGCTGTAATGAGGTTAAACGCGATGTTCTTCGTATTTCCTGCAACGAGAGGCGTATGAGACATATTACAGCTCTGGCCCTTTGTCACATCTCCTTGTTTAAGCAGTGCGAGTTATTTGAACCTGCTCGCTCAAGTAAAATTGCATGGCTTCCCCCACTCTGGGGATTGTAAGTGTGATAGCCGCAGTGTGGAGGGGCCGCCCTGGCGGTGGTGCAGTGACCGGGTACAGGGACAACTTCCGGCGCAGCCGTGTGTCGTATGTTAGTGTGACAGTGTGGCAGCGGCGGTGGTGCAGTGACTGGGCACGGGGATGGCTCCCAGACGTGTGTCTTGTGTTGGTGTGGCAGTGTGGCGGCGGCGGTGGTACAGTGACCGGGCGCAGGGACATCTTCCGCACGTGCGTCGTGTGCTGGTGTGGCAGTGTGGCAGCAGCGACGGTGCTGAGCTGATGCGCTCTCGCCCCGCAGTGGTCAAGTGCGAGTACTTCAACGCGGGCGGCAGCGTCAAGGACCGGATCGCGCTGCGCATGGTGGAGGACGCCGAGAAGCAGGGTCTGCTGAAGCCCGGCTCCACGCTGATCGAGCCCACGTCGGGCAACACGGGTACGGTCCGGGCGCCCCTGAGTCACGCTCTGCATCTCTGCGGCACGCACCGCCACCGACGGCCGCCGCCTGGTGCCGCTACAGTCGGCGTGCCCGGGCATGATCGCGGGGACTCGCACATGCCATGCCATGTCGTCATGTCAGATTGGGAGCCCCTAGTGTCCCGCCAGCTGCTGATGTTGGTCTGGTCGGATCACTCTGCGACATAGCAGCGCGACCCTGCCCGAGTGGGGCGGGCAGCTGCTGGAGCAGGCTGAACGGCAGGTGCTAGGTGGTCGGCACGTGTGAAGCGCGCCATGCTGGTCCCAGCTGCATCTGCCCCGTGTGTGCGGACAGGTATCGGCCTGGCGCTGGCCGCCGCCGTCAAGGGCTACCGCGCCATCATCGTCATGCCGGAGAAGATGTCCAACGAGAAGGTGGCCACGCTGCGCGCGCTGGGCGCCGAGATCGTGCGCACGCCCACCTCGGCGTCGTGGGACTCGCCCGAGAGTCATATCTCGGTGGCGCAGCGGCTGCAGGTCTGGCGCGGGTGGTGGCCTCTGGGGCTGTGGGGCCGGTCAGCCGCGCCGCTGGCGTCTCGCGGACGCGGTCTGCACCGCCAGTGGCGGCTCGCGGACGTGGTCATTTGCTCCGATGGCGGCTCGCGGACGTGGTCTGCCGTGCCGATGGCGGCTCGCGGACGTGGTCTGCCGCGCCGCTGGCGGCTCGCGGACGTGGTCTGCCGCGCCGCTGGCGGCTCGCGGACGTGGTCTGCCGCGCCGCTGGCGTCCAGTCTGCCGGTTGGACGCGGCCGTGTCCGCCTGGTGGTGTCCGCTCGGGGCCCCATGGATAGGGCTTATGATGTCCACGCGACGGAGCGGAGCCGCTGCACTGTAATATCCCTGAATAGGGATATAAATAGATATTCCTCAAGGAGGAGGAATAGTCTTTTTTTGGCATAATAATTTCCTTCGCTGAGAAGTCTCATTCCGTCCAGAAACGTGTTCCCTATAATGTGCTAGCTTTCATATGCTAGAGGATCAGGGGATAGTATACAACTGCCTGACCTCCTCCCCGATATAACCTTGCCGTACGTGCACGACTGACGAGCAGCCTCGTGGAGCGCCACCGGTGCACGATACACGCGTGTGATGACGTTGCAGAGGGAGATCACGGACGCCGTGATCCTGGACCAGTACCGTAACCCGGGCAACCCGCTGGCGCACTACGACACCACCGGCGAGGAGATCCTGCAGCAGTGCCAGGGCCGCGTCGACATGGTTGTGCTCGGTCAGTGCACGTGCGATGCGCTGGGACGGACCTGCTTTCTGACTGTAACGTTATCTAGGTTTGTGGGATGGGGGTCCAATCAGCGGTGTGCCTGATAAGCTGCTAGCGTTTCGCCGGGCAGTCAAGTTCTCGTTTCCTGCAATGAAATATTGCAACAAGCTTTAAAAAACAAGACTGTTATGTCAGCATGATGGTTTGTTTGAGTGTTTCCAGGTTGTTTTACCCATGACTTACTTACCCAGTTGTCGACGGTCCACCCCTTCGCGAGGTCTGACCCTTGTGAGACTGACCGGAGCACGTGCCGCAGGCGCCGGTACGGGCGGCACGGCCACCGGCGTGGGGCGCAAACTGCGCGACGCCGGCTCCGACTGCGTGGTGGTCGGCGTCGACCCGTACGGCTCGATCCTGGCGCACGAGCCGCATGAGACGGTCGACGGGCAGTTCTACGAGGTGGAGGGCATCGGCTACGACTTCTACCCCACAGTGCTCGGTAGGGCGGCGTCACCGCACGGACGGGCGCGACGGGACGGAACGGGCTGCGAGCTGCTGGACGGGCGACTGGCTGAGATAGTGGGTTGTTCCGTGTCATGCTGTTTTGCTGAACTTGGTGGGCCGTTCTGTGTCATGTTGTTTTGCTGAACTTGGTGGGCCGTTCCGTGTCATGTTGTTTTGCTGAACTTGGCGGGTCGTTCCAACCGCGTTTGGGAGCACGATTCGTGTTGTCAGGGCGCGCATAGCGGTGGTGGGACACTTAAGAATGAGAAGGGTGTTTTCGTTTGTTTTCCGTCATCAGATTTTGCAGTTTGTTTTCCCTACTGATGGGACTGTGCGGCCGGCGTTGTCTGTTGTGAAAGCGTCACGCAGAGTCTGACTGCACTGCGTCCGGTGAGCCGCCGCTGTGGTCAGCCCGGCGACCTCCGGAGAGAAGCCGGGCCCGCCGGCCGCTGACGCTCGCCGCGCTGCGTTCCCCCAGACAAGTCTGTGGTGAGCCGGTGGATCAAGTGCGGCGACCGCGACTCGCTGCTGATGTGCCGCCGACTGATCCGCGAGGAGGGCCTGCTGTGCGGCGGCAGCAGCGGCTCGGCGGTCTGGGCCGCCTGCCAGGTACCGCGCCCATCGGTCGGCGCAGGGCTGCACCCCTCCGGCCGCCGGGCCGACCTGTCTCTGTGTGGGGGTTCAGGCTGCTCTGTTGTGCCGTGGCCTGCGACGCTTTCGGGCCCGGCTCGGTGTCGGGTGTGGGAGCTCTCTCCGCGGTACCACTGGGAGTGGGGCACAAAGGTGTAGTAGTGAGAACGCGGATGTCGTGATCGAAAGTCCCGTGGTTTGGTTACTGATCTATCTTCGTTCGCTCAAGTGGTCTCGGCCGCAGGCGGCGCCTGCTGCTCTGGCCCGCACCCGTGCCTCAGGCTCTGACTGCTCCCCGCCGCCGCCCGCAGGCGGCACTGGCTGCTCTGGCCCGCACCCGTGCCTCAGGCTCTGACTGCTCCCTGCCCCCGTCCGCAGGCGGCGTGTGCCGCTCTGGCCCGAACCCGTGCCTCAGGCTCTGACTGCTCCCCGCCCCCGTCCGCAGGCGGCGCTGGCTGCTCTGACCCGCACCCGTGCCTCATACTCTGACTGTTCTCTACCCCCGCCCACAGGCGGCGCGTGCTGCTCTGGCCCGCCCCCATGCCTCAAGCTCTGACTGTTCCCCGCCCCCGCCCGCAGGCGGCGCGTGCTGTTTTGACCTGCACCCATGCCTCAGGCTCTGACTGTTCCCTGCCCCCGTCCGCAGGTGGCGCGTGCCGCTCTGACTGCTCCTTGTCCCCGCCCACAGGCCGCGCGTGCTGCTCTGGCCTGCACCCGTGCCACAGGCTCTGACTGTTCCCCGCCCCGCCCGCAGGCGGCGCGCTGATCTGCCGGCCGAGGCCCGCTGTCGTCGTCGTGCTGCCGGACAGCGTGCGCAACTACATGACCAAGTTCCTGGACGACGATTGGATGGAGCAGCGCCAGTTCATCGACGGCACGCTCAAGACCGACAAGGACTCGTGGTAAGGCAGCCGCCGGACGAGGGCGGGCGCGCATGCGCTCTGGCGCGGCGACAGACTGCACGGTGTGCCGGGGCCTCCCTCGGGAGCCGGCCCACTGAATGTCTTCCCACCAGGTGTTCAGGAGCTGCCCTGCTGACATGCTGCCCACCAGGGGGCGCCAAGCACTCAGTTGGGTCTGGCGTGGCAAGCTAGTGTGTACAGGAGTGGAGTTTGGATGCAGGGGTTCGTTGAGCGGTGATCGAAGTCGCTGTTTCGAAAGACATTTAGTATGTGGCCCGTTCCGTTACAGCTTAAGTCGGGTTTTATTCGTGTTCCAAAACTGGTTGTCTTGACAAGCCCCGATTGGTCTGTCGTCGTCGCCGAGTTTCGGGACAAGCGGGCGGTTGATTAAGATTCGTATTTGATTTCCTGGCCTCACTAATAAATTTTCTCTGTACTCTGTTTCTTCAATAATTTTCGCCCAAGTATACAAGCTAGGCTGACCCATCCGCCTACTCTATTCTGACTGGCTTACTTATTTCCTGTTCCACGGCTAAATGTAGGTGTACGGTGTGGTCACTGCCAGCCCGTTGTGTTCGAAAAGTTAACGTAGGCCTAGTGTTGGTGCATGAAAATATTCGCATCAAAGCTGGTGAGGTATGCTCGTTTTGCCGGCATGAGGCTGAATGCCTCTGATACCGCACGAACGGCACGGGGAGGGGAGCCTCCCTGCCGTTTTGGGATCTGACATGCATTACGGCGACTCTGTTACGTGCCGCACGCCTAGCTCTCAGTCCTCGCAGCATAACCAACGGCTCCACATAGAAGCTGCACTTCACAGAAAGTATCGGATGCCAGATAACCAGCAGTGCCGTGGCGCAATACTGGAATGTGTACGGAACGCACTGGTTCGGCCGCCCCGCCGCCGGCGCCGGCCCGTCCTTAACGCTCGCGGTGCCGCCCAGGTGGTGGAACCAGAAGGTGTCGCTGCTGGACGTGGCCACGCCGCTGACGGTGCTGCCGAGCGTCTCCTGCCAGGACGCCATCGACATCATGAACCGCGAGGGCTTCGACCAGCTGCCCGTGGTCGACCAGCAGGGGTGAGGTGATCCCCGACCCCCGTCTATCGGCGTGTGTTACCGACGGCCGGCCAGTCACGGCCCGTGGATCACCACCAGCGCGAGGCGTCGCGCCTCCCGCCAGCGTCAGGTGGCCGCCATGTCTGGGCCTGTCATGTCATGTCACGCTGTCTGGACCGTCAGGAGCCCAGTGTTGTGTGGCGTTGCCGCGTCGGCTGTTGCGGACCGCCTGCTGATCTGTGTGGTTGCGCGGCCTCAGCGGGGCGCTGCACGTCCACACGCACGTGGACGTGCGGTTGTTGAATCCGCACGGGCCATCCGTTGATACAGCAAGGCCAGCCTTGTCCAGCGTACACGAGTGCCTGCCTCTCGCAGTCCAAGGAAGCTGTCGCCGTCCATGCGACGGATGTGTATTGGTGACCCTTCCACTTGTGCGCTGCTCTTCTTACCTGTCGACGGTTCTTCCTGACGGTCGTGGCGTCCCCCTGACTTCGGTGTGCCCCCCCCCTCCCCGACGATGGTGTGCCCCCCTGACGGCGGCATGTCCCCTGACGGGGCGTGTCTCCCTTGACGGCAGCATGTCTCCCTCTGCCCGGACCGGCGTGTTCCCCCTGACCGGTGTGTCCCTCTGACGGCGGTGTGTCTCCCTGACTTCGGTTGTGTCCCCTGACGGCGGCGTGTCCCCCTGACTTCGGTGTGTCCCCCTGACGGCGACGTGTCCCTCTGACGGCGGTGTGTCCCCCTGACGGCGGTTTGTCTCCCTGACGGCGGTGTGTCCCCCTGACGGCGGTGTGTCCTCTGACGGCGGCGTGTCCCCCTGACGGCGGCGTGTCCCCCTGACGGCGGCGTGTCCCTCTGACGGCAGCGTGTCTCCCTGACGGCGGTGTGCTCCCCTAACAACGGCGTGTCTCCTGACGGCGGAGTGTCCCCCTGACGGCGGTGGTCCCTCTGACGGCGGCGTGTCCCCCTGACGGCGGTGTGCTCCCCTAACAACGGCGTGTCTCCCTGACGGCGGTGTGTCCCCCTGACGGCGGTGTGTCCCTCTGACGGCTGCGTGTCCCCCTGACGGCGGTGTGCTCCCTAACAACGGCGTGTCTCCCTGACGGCGGTTGTGTCCCCCTGACGGCGGTGTGTCCCTCTGACGGCGGTGTGTCCCTCTGACGGCGGCGTGTCTCCCTGACGGCGGTGTGTCCCTCTGACGGCGGCGTGTCCCCCTGACGGCGGTGTGCTCCCCTAACAACGGCGTGTCCCCCTGACGGCGGTGTGTCCCCCTGACGGCGGTGTGCTCCCCTAACAACGGCGTGTCCCCCTGACGGCGGTGTGTCCCCTGACGGCGGTGTGCTCCCCTAACAACGGCGTGTCCCCCTGACGGCGGTGTGTCCCCCTGACGGCGGTGTGCTCCCCTAACAACGGCGTGTCCCCTGACGGCGGTGTGTCCCGCTGACGGCGGTGTGTCCCCCTGACGGCGGTGTGGACCCCTAACCGCGGCGTGTCCCCCTGACGGCGGTGTGTCCCCCTGACGGCGGGTGGTCCCCCTGACGGCGGTGTGCTCCCCTAACAACGGCGTTCCCCTGACGGCGGTGTGTCCCCCTGACGGCGGTGTGCTCCCCTAACAACGGCGTGTCTCCCTGACGGCGGTGTGTCCCCCTGACGGCGGTGTGCTCCCTAACAACGGCGTGTCTCCCTGACGGCGGTGTGTCCCCCTGACGGCGGTGTGCTCCCCTAACAACGGCGTGTCCCCCTGACGGCGGTGTGTCCCCCTGACGGCGGTGTGCTCCCCTAACAACGGCGTGTCTCCCTGACGGCGGTGTGTCCCCCTGACGGCGGTGTGCTCCCCTAACAACGGCGTGTCCCCCTGACGGCGGTGTGTCCCCCTGACGGCGGTGTGCTCCCCTAAAACGGCGTGTCTCCCTGACGGCGGCGTGTCCCCCTGACGGCGGCGTGTCCCCCTGACGGCGGTGTGTCCCCCTGACGGCGGTGTGCTCCCCTAACAACGGCGTGTCTCCCTGACGGCGGTGTGTCCCCCTGACGGCGGTGTGCTCCCCTAACAACGGCGTGTCCCCCTGACGGCGGTGTGTCCCTCTGACGGCGGTGTGTCCCCCTGACGGCGGTGTGCTCCCCTAACAACGGCGTGTCTCCCTGACGGCGGTGTGTCCCCCTGACGGCGGTGTGCTCCCCTAACAACGGCGTGTCTCCCTGACTGCGGTGTGTCCCTCTGACGGCGGTGGTGTCCCCCTGACGGCGGTGTGCTCCCCTAACAACGGCGTGTCTCCCTGACGGCGGTGTGTCCCCCTGACGGCGGTGTGCTCCCCTAACAACGGCGTGTCTCCCTGACGGCGGTGTGTCCCCCTGACGGCGGTGTGTCCCCCTGACGGCGGTGTGTCCCTCTGACGGCGGCGTGTCCCCCTGACGGCGGCGTGTCTCGCTGACGGCGGTGTGTCCCCCTGACGGCGGTGTGCTCCCCTAACAACGGCGTGTCTCCCTGACGGCGGTGTGTCCCCCTGACGGCGGTGTGCTCCCCTAACAACGGCGTGTCTCCCTGACGGCGGCGTGTCCCCCTGACGGCGGTGTGTCCCTCTGACGGCGGCGTGTCCCCCTGACGGCGGCGTGTCTCGCTGACGGCGGTGTGTCCCCCTGACGGCGGTGTGCTCCCCTAACAACGGCGTGTCCCCCTGACGGCGGCGTGTCTCCCTGACGGCGGCGTGTCCCCCTGACGGCGGTGTGTCCCTCTGACGGCGGCGTGTCCCCCTGACGGCGGCGTGTCTCGCTGACGGCGGCGTGTCCCCCTGACGGCGGTGTGTCCCCCTGACGGCGGTGTGCTCCCCTAACAACGGCGTGTCTCCCTGACGGCGGTGTGTCCCCCTGACGGCGGTGTGTCCCTCTGACGGCGGCGTGTCCCCCTGACGGCGGTGTGCTCCCCTAACAACGGCGTGTCTCCCTGACGGCGGTGTGTCCCCCTGACGGCGGTGTGTCCCTCTGACGGCGGTGTGTCCCCTGACGGCGGTGTGCTCCCTAACAACGGCGTGTCTCCCTGACTGCGGTGTGTCCCCCTGACGGCGGTGTGTCCCTCTGACGGGTGGTCCCCCTGACGGCGGTGTGCTCCCCTAACAACGGGTGTCTCCCTGACGGCGGTGTGTCCCCTGACGGCGGTGTGTCCCTTGCGCGGCGTGTCCCCTGACGGCGGTGGACCCCGAACACGGCGCATGGTGACCCGGCGGCGTCCTGATGGCTAAGATCGTGAGCCGCCGGGTGTCGCCGGCGTCGACGGCGGCGTGTCCCCCTGAGGCGGTGTGTCCCCTGCGCAGGACGTACGCGGCATGGGCCTGGCGTCTGAGGCCATGTAGCCGCGTGTCGCCGGCGTCGCGGGAGCATGGGTGGCATGTGCGGGGCGTAGCTCAGTCGGCGGCACCTGTCGGCATGGGCCGAGTACACCCTCCGTGTTAACACGCAAATGTCCAGACATGCACCATGCGTCACCTTCAGCAGTCGGGGGAACTTTATTTCATGTGTTCCCGAGGGACAAATTCCATGTGATGCTTGCTTCATTTATTAGGAGCTATTTATTTTTATTGATTAAGTGTTGATTGTGGCCCCCACACTTGGCACTTAAAGCGGCATCCTTTCAGCAAACAAAATGTGAATACAAAATGGCGGCTCATCATCCAGCGTCGGTGGTCGTGATCGCAGACTTTGCAGTCGGTTGAAGTAATCTGAACAACTGAAATACAGCGATTGATCAAGGAGCCCCTCCTTATGTACCGGTGTCCTCGTATGATGGTGTAGTCGTAGCGAGATGCGCGTTGGACGAGAGCATGAACTACATAAATGTGCACGATCTACATTGCAGGTGCTCTACAGTCAGTTCCACAAGGTGCCGCTGGACAAAACGTTGGGCACCCTCTCCAGGATTCTAGAGAAGGACCACTTCGCGCTCATCGTGCATGACCAGAAGCTGTGTAAGTTGACGGTGACGGAACATTGACACCGTCATGGTGATTGATTTATGCCACTCTTCCTGATGATTTATGCCACTCTTCCTGAATTCAAACGCAGCCTTATTCACCGAACGAACTTTTTCTGGCACGAATAACGCCGTCTTCTGCGAGGCATTGCTGTTCGTACCACAGTTTTTACTGTTGTACTGTTTGCATCGGGAGGTTTTGCTCATATCACTACGATTTTCGTATTCATTTCGAGCTTAACGCAGTCAACGACTTTGTCCAACACACCCACGCACTGTTATCATGTAATCCCTTGTTGAGTCCACGTTCAGAAATGCATGCATCACATGCATCGGGACAGGCTGGTCTGCCGGTGCTTGCGGCGTCACCCTGACGCCGTGCGTGCCCTGCCGGCAGACGTCGACAAGAGTCAGGTGGAGACGAAGCAGGTCATCATCGGCATCGTGACGCAGATAGACCTGCTGTCGTACATTATGGCCGGCGAGGAAGGTCGTGCAGCGACGGGGGACCAGTGAGGCGGCGGCGGCGGCGGCCTGTCTGGGCTCCTGATCTCGGGGCACAGGGGCCGGCGGCGACGGGGGACCAGTGAGGCGGCGACGGCGGCGACGAGATGTCTGGGGTCCTGAGCCCGGGGGACAGGGGCCGGCGGCGACGGGGGACCAGTGAGGCGGCGGCGGCGGCGACGGCCTGTCTGGGCTCCTGACCCCGGGGCACATGGGCCGGTGGCGACAGGGGACCAGCGGATTCCTTACCCCGGGCACAGGGGCTGGCAGCGACGGAGGACCAGTGAGGCGGCGGCGGCGGCGGCGGCATGTCTGGGCTCCTGATCCAGGGCACAGGGGCCGGCGGCGATGGGGAACTGGTGAGGCGGCAGCGGCCTGTCTCGGCTTCTGACTCGTGGCAGAGGGGCTGGCAGCGCTCCCCGATCGCCCATGTGGGGGTGGGGGTGGGGCGGGGGGGGGGGGGGACGGCGTGTCGGGTTGGGGCTGACGGGTAGTGGCGGGCTGTGCTGATTGCAGGGCCGGGATGACCGGCGGCGCCAGTTTTGAAAAAGACACAGGAAAAGACATACGCGGTCTTGCTAGCTTTACACTCACTTAACCGTAACGGGAAGAGGGGCACGGGGAGACATTCTCTGTCTTTCTAGCTTTTAAGCTGGCGAGGGAGCTTGTGATAAGCAAGGAGTATTACAAATGAAGAAGGGTGTCCTTCCACACTTGCGGTTTACCGCAACGGGGGAAAACATTGGAAGAGACATACACTGTCTTGCTGGCCTTTAATTTGGTGAGGAAGCTTGTGAGCAGCAAGGGGCATTAAAGACGGAGAGGCGTGTATTAATACACTCACCGTTTACCTGTAAGCGGGAAAAAGACGGGGAAAGACAGGCACCGTCTTACCAGCTTTTTTCTTGGTGAGCAAGGTTGTGAGAAGCCAGAGGTATTACAGATGGAAAAACGTGTACTTCTACATTCGTTGTTCACTCTAACGGGTCGTTAGCGTGGCGTGGCGCAGGAAGCGTCGCCCCTGAGTGTGTTTATTGCCGTGTCTCTTGCCGCACTGTAGTGTAGCACGCTCGCTCCATGTCACAGGCTGCTCTAGCCATGCCTGTGCACACACAGACCAGACCACTGCAGTGGTCTGGTCTGAACACCCACTTGGTCATTGTGGTACCATTCTCTTGTGTACATATCACTGGGCGCGCAACTAGGCTTTAGCCTGGCTTGAAACCATTGTATATGTACATTTGATGTGCTTCTGTGCAGGGCTGGAGAGAGGGCTGGTATTCAGACCCTCCATGGGTCACCAAAAGGTAATGTCAGACTGACATATAGTTGTATATTATATATTTTGGATGTCAAGTTTTTGCTTGATGAATTGATTCCAGGCCTGTGTGCAGGGTCCTTGCTACTGTGTGGGCAGACATACAGGTGAATGTCTTATATTTGAGATCTGATTAGGACTTCACTTGATGAACAAATCTCCAGCCCTGTCCAGGGTCCTTGCTTCTTGGTGGATATAGACATGCAGGTCTATATTGTATAGCTATGTTTAGGATCTGATCAAGACTTTACTTGATGAACAAACTTCAAGCCCTGTCTGGGTTCCTTGCTTCTGCATAGATATAAACATGCAGGTCTGTATTGTGTAGTTTGAGTCCAGCTAAGACTTACCTTGATTAACAAATTTCCAGCCGTCCCCAGGGTCATTGTTGCGTGCGCTGCCTACGTTAGTATGCGTGTGTGTCTATGTTACGGCCGGCCGATATGACAAGTGCTGTCTAACTTTTTCTTTGAATACACCCAAGGTTTGTCTTGACAACATTTTGTTTTGCCTCGTTTTCTCCTGGATCTGACTATTGAAGACAAGTTTGTCGTTATTGACAACTAGCCCTCACCAGCCGAGAGCTGCCTTCGCGCTGTTGATGAGGTGGGGGAGGGAGGGGGGGGGGGATGTTACCAGGTGTTAGGCAGCATCCCACCATTTGGCTAGAAATTGAGCTGCGGCCGCGAAATAAAGATAGTCTGGTATCTCAAGTTTCGTAAGATAGAAGTATTGACTTCAGAAATTCACATGATTGCATACCAGTTACACAGGGTCTCCGCAGAATTACACGCGTCTCGACACGAGTCCGCGGCACTACTTTTAAAGAGTGAAGCGAGAAATGGCATGTGCATCCCTAATATTTCCTGACAAGTTTGGTTTGTGGCTTTCCCGACTGGAATCAACCACAAACCCCAGGTGAGGTCAGTCTCTGAGCTAGCACTCGCTGAGTTTCAAGCTCAATATTCCGAGCAGTGTTGTTTGGTTTACGAGTGTTTAAATCACGCGGCAATCTGGAAATCACGCGCAAAACTCATGACATCTACGAGATACCTAGATGTCCTTGGCGCGAGCGCATCGTTCATCGTTGGCCATCATCTACCCGATAAAGGGCGCAGCGTCCAAGACTGAACATCGTTTTCTATGTGGCGTGACGTGGGTGTGACTGTGGTGGCTTCGCCTGACGGCGACTTAATGACACCGACAATTTAAGCGCACCTGCTACATATCGTAGCGCTATTTTCCCGCGGGCGAAGGTATTCTGATTCGTGATAAAGCACGCTCGCCCTTGCACGCTTCCTAGCTTGCATGTGGTGCAGACAAACGCCAGTCGGTCGTGCGATGTAAACCGGTGTGACTGATAGGAGGGCTTTGAATCGGGTGCATGATGACTGGAGACTGCCGAGGTACGTATGCTCAAAGTGGTAATAGGCTCGTAAATGTGATTCAATATGTGCGGTGCGGTTTAATAATCTTACGCAATTATCTAATTGATGCTAGTGTACGAGAACCGGAACCCTACAGCCAAAGTTGTCATTCCAATTTTGTATTAAGATGCTAGCAAAACCCAGCCTCATCATCAATTTCCTCAAATTTGTATCAAATTTAACAGTCTTTATCAACACCACTCTTCCATCAGCATGTGAAGGCTGCTCATTGTTCCCTGTTATTATTGTTGACCACTCACAGAATGGATTGGCAGTGTCTCATGACAATTTTAATGCATTTTATAGTGTGTGAGGACAGACAACTAGTAACTGGTGTGGTCAGCTGTGCTTGTGCTGGATTACTGTGCCACATCATTTGATTATGCAAGCCATAAGCCTTTGCATGCTCACATTTAAGGTAAATTATGCATCAAAGGAAGATTAAAAAAATTGTGCTTAACTCCAGTGTAAGTAAGCTTTCAGTTGGCATTTGATCAAGCAGTGATACATGTGTTGTACTTTGTGGTATGAGCATGGTATCATCAATTTACTCCATGCAGATACTGTCTCATTTTGCTCACCTTCACCCTCAGGTTCACAGCTGCAGCTGGAAGATGAAATGATTTCACAATATTTTTCATTGTCTGATCTTGATAAGCAAAAGACATATTGTTCATTCCACTGCATTAGCATCTAGTACCTTCACACATTTTCTATCAGCCATGCCAGAAATAAAACTAACTCAAGTGATGGCATTCAGCAGTGAGGATCATGTAAGTGGGATTTTCAGATGAAACAAGTTTCCCAAACATAGTGTATGCGTCAGTTGTCATTGTGGCTGTTTGTCTTGGACCTTACTGTATTTGTTCTGTGTGCCAGGAAGTGTACCTAATGTTTGTGTTATAATGTGCTGGGCCACATGATACAAGGCTCATCAATAAAGCTCCATGACTATGCCTACATAAGCAGGAAACTAACTTTGTTTAAGTTTGGTCCCATCCTTTTTGAAGTAATCCTGTTCTGCTTCACATATGTACCCACCTTCTCACTATGCCCAGAACCTTTACCACACTTGGAACACTCTCTGGAGGTCCCATTCTTAACAGTCAAATGCATCTGTGGTTTGTACAGCATCTTCTCAACAGTATCAGGACATAGCCCCTAAGCTTAAAATAATCATGGGGAGAAAGAATTTACAGTGAGGTGAGCTGGTGCGAGTGTAGAGCAATGATGGCATCAGTGTCACCCAAAAACTTTCAACCTTTAACACACTGCTTTGGTGTGTTGTGATGTTTCAGCTGCCACTAAGCATCGCTCCACATTTCCTATCATTCACTCTGAATGTTTTCCTTCAACATCTCATGACTGCACAGTAAAACTCTGCATTGACAGTATGGCCCTGCCAGATGGATTTCAGGTGCACAACAACGTGACATGAAAAAGACCAGCGGAACTCTTGGTCATGCTGGCCTGCCTGTTTAGCAGAGACTTTTAGTATCAGGTGCTGCAGGAACTCAATATGCCACTTATATTGCATTGAAAGTGGGTGATCTTTTAAGATCCAAACCCCATCATCACTTGCAGTTCCCAGCCATTGCTTTCACCAGAATTGGATGCTGTGACATGACTTCCTCCCCTGCTACATAGTTAAAGATGGAGGGTTGACACTTAAACATGGCATCCCTTGGGAGAGAAGATCCAGCTTGAATTGTGATAGCTCTTGAGTTTCCCAAAAAATGAGATTTCCAGTGAGTATTCCAAGAATGGTGAACATGCTTGGTGTGTTGTATCCCTGTAAAGGCAAAGACTTTTCAAAGGAATTGTATTAAGTATAAATCAGCTACATTTCCTGCATCTGATGGATGTTGTATCATGTTTCCAAATGCTTTTGAATTACAGCTTATTGAATGTGTGGGACTAAATGCTCATACAGATAGAACATGGATTTACACATGTTACTTAAACCTTGAAGCAATTATCTAAGTCATCATATTGCTATTCAACAGAAGAGCTGACTTCCACTGTGCCAGACATGATGGAACACAAGTTTTTCCTTTGTGTGTAAGCCTTCATCATGCCTTTCCAGGTGAAGTGTCTGGCCAGTGGTGAGCTAGGTGTTGGTTCATGTGTATTATTGATGGTCCAAAGAGTATGCTGCCCATGACCTGAGTCCAGCTCCCTTGGACCTGAGCTGCCCATTGTATTCTGTCAACAGCTGGGAATAGCTGAGGCCAGCCACTGAGATACCCAGGTGAAGTAGTGTGTGCTTCGTTGCAGAATTTTCCAGCCAAAAACCTGCTCAGCTCTGAAAATTTCAAGAAATGGAAAAGCAAAAGTGCTGGGGAGAAGGACGTTTCTGTGATGCTGCAATTTGAGTGCAGCACACAGGTGGAAGCTGTGCATGTGGGAAACGAGGGCTCTGCTTTTGTTGAAATCTTTGTTGGAAAACTTGGTGCAGATGTAAAGGATTTTGAGGTAAGTCCACAGGTTCAGAATGCATTGTCTATTAAAATCTTCAAGTCCAATGCCAGCAGATTATTCTTTATGATTTTTTTTGCTTTTAGAAGTAGAGCATAAATGCTTCATAAGTCCTGTACTCGCCTTGTGGTGTGTTGCTGATGTGTAGCTGGTGCCAAATGCTAGAAAGTTTATTGGACATAAATCACCCTGCAAACTATCCTTTTTGCTGTGGTGCTGTTGACTCCGCGTACACGTGTAGTTTATTCAGCTGATACTTGGTTAGTATGCAGCATGGCGTGGCAGTCATAATATAGGACTGTAGAAACCCAGTGGTAGTTTTCCAGCTCCACTAGCTGTCACCCGAGCTTCCGACGCTGTGGCAGGCCGGCCGTGTGGTGACGTGCGTTCGCGCAGGGCGGCGCGCCGTGTGACCAGTGGTGCCGTGCTCAGGTTGCTGCTGCCCACCTCGTCATTCATGAGCCCGGCCGAGTCGCGCAGCGGCACCAACCCGAGCCGCGTGCGCCTGTTCGGGCGGGACAAGCTGTCGGCGGCCGCGCTCGGCCGGCCATGGGACTGCGCGCGCGTCGTCTGCACGCAGCCGTTCTGTCGCACGGCCGCCTACGGCCTGGCGTTCGTGAAGTTCCTGGCGCCGGCGGCGCCGGCAGCGGCAGCGGCGCAGCCGGCGGCGGCTGTTGCGCAGCCGGCGGCCGGGGACGTAGTCCGGCTGGGCTCCTTCACCCTGCGACCCGAGTCAAGCGACGAGATCCGGGCGGGCGGTCTGTTCAGCCGCCGCTCCCAGCTGACGGCAGGTGAGAGACCGACCCAGCTGATCCCACTCCAGGTGAGAGGCTGACCCAGCTGATCCCGCTCCAGGTGAGAGGCCGACCCAGCTGATCCTGCTCCAGGTGAGGGTCCAGCCCTGCTGATCCCGCTCCTGGTGAGAGGCCGACCCAGCTGATCCCACTCCAGGTGAGGGACCAGCGTACACCTGCTGCCGGCCCGGGTGAGCGTTCGGCTCACACCCGCTGCCGACCCGGCTGAGAGACCGACACACATGCACCTGTCAGTCCAGGTGAGAGGTCTTCGTACGGAAGCTGTCGGCCCGAGCGAGAGTCGGTTCGCCTGGTGTTGGCCCGAGCGAGAGGCCGGCTTGTCTGGTGTTGACCCGAGCGAGAGTCGGCACGCCTGGTGCTGGTCCGGGCGGGAGGCCGGCGGCCTGAACTCGTTCGCGTTCACTATCTCACGGACGACACGGGAACTGAACTATTCCACGGGAGACACGGGAACTGAACTATCCCACGGGAGATACGGAAGATTCACTATCCCACGGGAGACACGGAGAATTCACTATCTCAAGCCAAAGTGTGTCAGCACTACTCACCAGATGTCCAGACCTCGTCATGATGAGGAGAAGGTGTACTGCACAGTGCACAGTGCCCTTGCGCATCTCTCATCCGATGATGGGCCTCCTGACACGGCAAGCATTGTATCAATCATGCACAATGGATAACGAATGGTGGTCAGGCCGAAATCGATGCCGTGCCGATATACGGCACAGAATTGGGCGACACTCCGTCCTTGCTATGTATGAGTTTTTGCTCTCTGCATTCTCTGTGTGTCTCATGTTTAGGTTAAGGAAAGGGCTGTTTTGGAAACGCTGAGTAAGGCTATCTAAAGACTGAGCGCACGTGATCGAAGCCGTCGAGGCGCGCGTCAACGCAATCATCAGAAGAACCGCAACCTCAAGACCGTGGGCAAAAGTCGGTCTCCCCGAACGGCAGTGCCCCTTCCTGCATGCCTCGGACCGGCAGCCACTAGCCGCGCCCACACCGAGACATGGCGATGGGGCTGATGTGACCCGCAGCTGGCAGACGAACTGGTGAAAGGCTGGCAGAGACTGATGGGCAATAAATATGTTCGTGACGCTAAAGTACGGTACGGAAGCTATCAGGTTCCGTTAAGACTTTCGCAAAGGGAGTTTTCAGCATGCGGTCTTGTTAAGTAAGGAAAACTGAGACGGTGCGCGCTCTTTAATTGTCCACCATGAATTCTGGTCAAGGTTGTTGTGTATCCACTGACTTATACCCTAGTGGCACTGGGCTGACCTGATCCGACCTATCGTCGGTTATTGACGCGCCGTCGCCAGGGGGGGGGGGGAAGGAGGGGGAACGCAGAAACACCTCAAGCGAGGGCGGTACAGGGACGCAACTGACTTGGGAGCGAGGGGAACAGATAACATTTTCATAAAACACGTCGAAAGCATTGCATCGGCGTGCGTGTGCAAATATGCTGTTGTTCGCCAAACATTTTTAGAGACGGAGTAGTTCAGCATCATATGGTAACAGCCTGATATTGGATGGCGCGGGCTAACCGTTCTGAGCAGCAGTCACTGGGCGCTTAGCTCCGAGCCGTGCCGGAAAGCCCGGGGCCCGCGCGTGCGGCACTCGGGCGAGGCGACCCCCCGGTGCGCCGGGACAGCCGCGAGGGCTGCTGCCGCGCCAGCTGGGCGATCTGGACCCGTGTCCGTAACGCTGGGCCTCATTCGTGGTGGGCGCCGTGACTATGGGCTGGTGTCGAGGTCCGACCACTCGGCGTGTCGGGACAGCCGCGAGAGCTGCTGCCGCGCCAGGTGGGCGATCTGGACCCGTGTCTGTAACGCTGGGGCTCAGTCGTGATGACTGGGCTGGGGTCGAGGACCGACCACTCGGCGTGTCGGGACAGCCGCGAGAGCTGCTGCCGCGCCAGGTGGGCGATCTGGACCCGTGTCTGTAACGCTGGGGCTCAGTCGTGATGACTGGGCTGGGGTCGAGGACCGACCACTCGGCGTGTCGGGACAGCCGCGAGAGCTGCTGCCGCGCCAGGTGGGCGATCTGGACCCGTGTCCGTAACGCTGAGGCTCAGTTGTGGTGGACGCCGGGACTGTGGGCTGGGGTCAAGGACCGGCCTCTGGCTCTCTTCGCCGGGGAGCGTAACCGAGCGTAACGGCTGACGGGTGTCCTACCCCCCAGCCGGCGGCAGTCTGACGCGAGAGGACCGCGCGGACCGCGTGGTACCGCCCCGGCAGCCGCCCAGCGCCACGCAGACCTCAACGGACGAGCCGCCGCTGCCCACCGGCCACTACCAACTCAAGCCGGAGACCAAGCAGAAGAGGCCGACGGAGAGCAAGCCTGCCAGACCAGAGACGCAACCAGGCAAGTCCGCGGTGGATGGTCGTACGTTCCATTTTGCTGGTATGTGTCAGCCAGCGCAGACGCGCCAGGGAGAACTGTTTTGAAAACGCAGAGCTGTCGTTTATGGGAGGCCGACATTCCATTACGACCGACGGAGGTGAGGCGGCATGTGAAGGGTCCCAGTCATTGTTTTCCTTACCACAGGCAATGTGCTGGAATATGCAGGGTAGATCACATTCACAGTGGCTGTTGGCTCCCAGACGTCAGATTTGTTAAATTTAACCTTTGTACTACATGCTGAACTAAGAGCACGCACGTGGCACCAGCCGGACCTACGCCCTGCGCGGAGTGCGACATTTAGAAGCGCATCCTGGCCTTAGCCGCGACCGGTCAACGGTGGTGTACTTCACAGCGGCGAGACGCGACACGGCTGGGCCGGCGTCGAGCGGGGCCAGACGGACCGTGCCGGCGCCGGGCGCCACCAGACGGACCGAGCCGGCGCCGGGCGCCGCCAGACGGACCGAGCCGGCGCCGGGCGCCGCCAGACGGACCGAGCCGGCGCCGGGCGCCGCCAGACGGGCCGAGCCGGGGCCGGGCGCCGCCAGACGGACCGAGCCGGCGCCGAGCCGCGCCCCCACCGGCTCAGCAGGCGCCGGCGGCACGGCCGTCAGCAACGGCGACACCAGCGGCGCCCGGCCGCCCGCCACTGCCACCTACCGGCCGCTCGACAAACTGCTGTCGGGTGTCGTGTTCGCCATGAGCGGCTACAAGAACCCGGAGCGGGCCACGCTGCGCGAGCAGGGCATCCGACTGGGAGCCAAGTACCGGCCTGACTGGACCCCCGACTGCACCCATCTCATGTGAGCAGGGAGGGCTGGGGCGCCACGCGCTGACGCCACGTGGCAGCTGTCCCACGCAGGTGCATTGGGATGCTTTTACACCAGCGGAGCTGTAATGTCGCCCACCTGATGGAATTTGAGGGGAAGATCGAGTGGCCAGGGTCGCTGGTCGCGCCTATCGCAGTGTTAACTGTTAGGTCATAGTATTAGTTCCAGTAACCAAGAGCGATAACGAAATACAACACATAAAACACCAATATGCCAGTCATTAACTTACTCATACGTCAATAATAGGGGGGGGGGGGGGGGGGGGGGGGGGGGGGGTAGGTTGTAGCAATCTCTGGTACATTAAGAGCAAACTGATGTTTTTCACATGCCACCTGAAGATAAAGTAAACGCACTCATGACATCAACAAACAGGCATACTACCATGAACGGCAACCAGTACTTAGCCTGTTCCATTCGGGTACGGCCCGTTACCAAGCTAAATTCAGCTTTTCACCGCAGTTGCCTGTTCCATTCGGGTACGGCCCGTTACCAAGCTAAATTCAGCTTTTCACCGCAGTTGCCTGTTCCATTCGGGTACGGCCCGTTACCAAGCTAAATTCAGCTTTTCACCGCAGTTGCCTATTCCATTCGGGTATGGCCCGTTGCTAAGCTAAATTCAGCTTTCCACCGCAGTTTTTACCCCATATGTCCCATCCCATCTGTAAGCCTTCTCTACTTCCTCGTATTTTATTTTTCCTCCCTCTGCCGACCTCCCCGCGTCCGCTGCCGTCCTCGATCGTTCCCTGCCGTCTTCGCTCCGCCGATTTTCGCACGTGCTTTGCCGTGCTTCCTCCGCCGATCTCCCCGTGTCCTCCCTCTGCCGGCCTCCCTCTGCCGGCCTCCCCATGTTCTCTGCCGGCCTCCCCGTGTCTTCTGACGGCCTCCCCATGTCCTCTGCCGTCCTTCCTCTGCCTGCCTCCCCGCGCTCGCGAGCGCCTCTGACATCACGTGACGCCGCCGCCAGCTGCGCGTTCCGGAACACGCCCAAGCACGTGCAGGTGCGCGGCCGCGGCAAGATCGTGCTCGGCTCGTGGCTGATGGCGTGCGCCGCCCAGAAGCGGCGGCTCTCGTGGCGGCGGCACGCGCTGGAGCCAGCCGACGGCCGCGCGCCGGACAGCGAAGACGAGGTGTGGGCTGAGGAGCTGCGTCCTCGGCCGGCCGCCGGCCCAGGTGAGGCGAGGCGCCCCTCCACAGGACCCGCACGCCGGCCGTCCCGCGGCCGAGAGCCGACTGCCGGGCCAGGTGAGGCGGGGCGCCCCTTCACGGCACCCACACGCCGGCCGTTCTGAGGCCGAGAGCCGGCTGCCGGCCGAGGTGAGGCAAGGCGCCCCTCCTCGGGACCCGCACGCCGCCCGTACTGCGGCCGAGAGCCGGCTGCCGGGCCAGGTGAGGCGAGGCGCCCCTCCTCGGGACCTGCACGCCGCCCGCGCTAAGGCCGAGAGCCGGCGGAGCCTGTCGACCCTGTCTCTGTCTCTGGCCGAGTCTGTCGACCCGAGCGCGCGCTGGGTCGGGGTCATACCACGCCGACTGGTTGACCCGGCCGCAGGCTCGCGTGTGTGTTCCCGCGCCCTGACGAGGTACCACGCGGCCGTGTTCTGTTGGATGACACGTCTCACGACTAGATGATCTGATGGCGGTGGGGTGGCGTCTAGCGTCGTGGGTCGGGATCGGGCCGGTGTGACGCGACCTCCTGCCCTGCAGCCACCGCGCCCAGCCCGCCGCCAGCGAACGGCGACGAGTACGGCAGCAGCACCGACGATATGGACACGGACGACGAGATCAGGATGTAAGCGCGCCTTGTGCCGCCGGCCACCAGCCGAGTCGGCTTGTGACATGGGGGACATGTGAGGCATGCCAGATAATCAGCTGTGAATTGTGGTCTGCGGCACTGATGTCGGGTAACGGGCTAGTCCTCGAGCCCAAGCCATTAGCCCTCAAGCCCAAATGACCAACCAAACGGGGTCTGCTGACCAATGCTGCGGCCTGACGTCTGGTTACATGTATTATATGCTTTCCATCTGCTGGTGCGATACCTTCGCAGGGCTCAGACATCCTGCAAGCCGGCGGCGGTCTCCGAGGCCAGGCGCCGGACGTCGGCGAGTCCGCCAGTGTCCGGCACCGAGAGAAGGCGCGTGCCCGTCGCTGCCGCTGGGAGCCCCTTTCCGTCCACGTCCGCCGGCGCCGTGCGGCGACAGCGACGCTCCCCGTCGCCGGCCACCGCCGCCGCCGTCCCAGCCAAGCGGCGCCGCTCGCCGACCAAGCCGGCGGCCGTCGCCGAGGACTCGGACGCCGCGTACGAGGCGGACACGGACGAGGACGAGCCGGCCGAGCGGCGGCCCGACACGACCGGGCTGCGCGTGCCCGAGCTGCCCGACTTCCTGCGTGGCAAGACGTTCCTGCTGTACGGGCAGACCATGTCGACGGAGACGCGGCGCCAGGCGGGCCGCTACATCACGGCGTTCGGCGGGTGAGCAGTGCGGGCCGCTGGGCTGGCGGGCGTGGTATGGCGCACGGGCCCCGCCACCCGCTCAGTCATGCAGCGTGAGAGCGAACCAGCGCAGCGTCATACCACGAAATCACTGTCGTTCGTCGAACTTGGGTTGCGGTAGAGCTAATGATGGAAATAGGCCAGTCGGTGCGGTCATGAGACGCGACAAGGCACCCGCGAAAACGATGACAAGCGAATTGCAAAAATAGCCTGTAACCATTCATGCTGCTTATTTCGATGCTGACTTCTCATCGGTAGAGGCGACCCGAGCACGTCTGGCTCCCTTACTCGCTACCGGCCCGGCCTTGCCAAACTTTGGCCGGGCCAAATGGCGTGGGCGTGGCCAGACATTGGTACCACTCCTTCCCGTTGACATATGTTTGTCCTTCACTGCAGGAAGCTGGAGCAGTACTTCGGCGACGGCATCAACTATGTGATAACGTCGGACGCGTGGGACGGCAACTTCGACGAGGTAAGCCGGCGGACCTCTGACCAGCCGCCACGGCTCGCGTACGTCCGGGGCGGCGGACGTCTGACCTAGGGCAGGGCCGCCACGCCGCGACCGGACGCCTTGCGGGCGAGGTGTGACAGCTGCTGCCTTGCGCATTAACCGCGCACATTCCGACATGTACACTGGGTATTGGCGTCTCAAATTGCGTTCAATCGCACCACCGCCGTTACTGTGAGGGAGCACTTGGAGGACTGCGCGGGCTGATTCGTGCCGACGAGCCGGGTCGTTTTTATGCCCGTGTGCTCGAGGCCACCTTTCCTCTGAACGCATTCCATGAACGGAGAAAGAGGATATATCATGCATCGTAGGACGAGATGAGAACATTTTCCCAACGGGTGACTGAAACACCGAGCGACAAAGGAGCGATGTTTGTAAGGAGCACGTGCGGAAAGGGTTATCTGTGACACAAAGAGACTTGCGCAACTACATGTCTTACAATCACACCATGCTTGATCGATTTTTAGTATTTGTAACTAGTTAATTAATGACCACTTCAGGTGCTTTCAAACTGCATGAGTACCTCCTTTTTTTGCTTCACAAGTCTGTATCAGTTTTCTTACATATCATAATTAATCAAGAACATCATACATTTGAAAAGTAACGCATACAAGGGGCGTAAGACTCATTATTTATTTGCAGTTACAATAGACTCAGATTAAATTTAACAGTTAAATGACACATGGTTGCGTCCATGCCTTTCAGTGCAAGGAACTGGGAAGATCACCCAGGATGAATATGACGCCGGGCAAGTTCCCGTATTTTTTTAGTACCGTGAGATGCTCGCACCGGTAGCCAAATCCCTATCAAACACTGCGACTGGTTCGGCGCAGACAGTTGCATTTGTGACGTCTCAGTCATTATCATCGAGTCCCATTTGTGACGTCTCAGTCATTATCATCGAGTCCCATTTGTGGCGTCTCAGTCATTATCATCGAGTCCCATTTGTGACGTCTCAGTCATTATCATCGAGTCCCATTTGTGACGTCTCAGTCATTATCATCGAGTCCCATTTGTGACGTCTCAGTCATTATCATCGAGTCCCATTTTCGCTGGTAAATGACGAACCCCATGGGCTAAAGCAAACACCGCAGCGAGCAAATTGGCCGCTATGGGTGCATCGATGAATACTCTCCATATACCACGTAACGCAGAACCTATATTATGGATATTTACGCAACCACAAGTGCATATTCATGCACACACGCATACACCTTATGGCAACAGTCTGCCGCCTGGGTGCCGTTTGGGCGTTCTAACACATATTTTTCAGCAGGATGCGCACATAGATTGCAGCCAGTTACTTTTATTTTATTGCTTCGCCCTTCAGCCTTGAGTACGTAGGTTTAGGAGATGTACATATTACTTGGTGTGTGTTTGTTAGATACGCCTAGCGTGTTCAGCGACGCCGGCGTATTTCATCTGTAGTTGAGTGTATGAGCGTGCGCCTGCGTACGTGTGCTGCGGCAGCCGGGGAGGGCTAAGCTCGGCTGCGTCGCTTCCTCAGGCGCTGTCGGCCAACCCTGAGCTGATGTTCGCCCGGCCGACCTGGCTGGACGCCTGCGCGCGTCAGCAGAAGCTGGTGCCGCCCCAGGCGTACCTGGTGACGGCCGACCTCTGACGGGCGAGCGCGCGGCGGATGGTGGCCGGCCCTCACACAGCAGCCATGGCAGAGGAACTGGTGCCGGGGAGCCGCCAAACTGGTGCCACAGGCCAAACTGGTGCCAGAGGACTGTGATGAGGGCGGCCCAGAGCCGTGGTCACGACTGGAGCCCGTGGGCCTGCGAGAGCAGGAGCCTGCGAACTCGGGAGCCTGCGAGCTCGGGAGCCCGCGAGCTCGGGAGCCCGCGAGCTCGGGAGCCCGCGAGCTCGGGAGCCTGCGAGCTCGGGAGCCCGCGAGCTCGGGAGCCTGTGAGCTCGGGAGCCCGGGAGCCCGCGAGCTCGGGAGCCTACGAGCTCGGAAGTCTGTGTGCCTGTGAGCCTGTGAGCCCGTGAGCGTGTGATCCGCCCAGGCTCGCGATCTCGGCTTCAGAGCGGTGTCCGCCACCCCCAGCAGATGCGGCCGGGAGCGGACTCGACAGACCCCGACTGCTGTGCCGGTGGTCTGGGCGGGTTGACACGTGGCGAGTACAAAATTGCCCAACTGCCGGGATGTGTGAGTGAGGCCCGATCACTGGGCCGCTTCATCGCCTTCGTTGACTAAGTTGCCGCGTTGTGTGCCTTTGCCTAGACTGCTCTGTTGTTACGTAGTGTGGTATTTTACACTGCTTTTTGACGAAAGCGTTTTGTTTCGACCTGCCGTGTGTATTAGGAATGTTGTGTTGTCACGTTTGCTAACAGGCTTTCTCGACGGCCGTGACAGCTGCCAGGACGGTGTTTTGTTGTGATTACTGTTGAGCCCCTCCGCCGGGTGCCAGGCCGATAGCCGACGGCATGCTGCTGCGTAATGTCAATACACTGATTCGTTGACCCGCGCTCGCTTGGCAGGGCGTCCGTCCCTTTAGCCAGTGAAGATCCAGTCACCCGTGAAGATCCACTCACCCGCGGCGAGGTGGGTTCGATTCACTTTAGGCGCGAGCTATTCGCCCCTGACTGAAGTGGCCTGCGGCCGCGGCCCGCTAAAGATCAGGAGACGGCAGAGGGCGGGGCGGACCGTGCCGAGCATTGCGGCAGGTTAAGCCTTCACTGCAGCGGTGTGCCGTTTTACGATCAGGTGGTGGGGTCAGGGATTACGCCGCAAACGCTGCTTAGCCTGGACGCTGACCCTTGACATCCATCCAAAGTGGTCGGAATGGGGCTTAAGCGTGGGTTCGCATCTTGGCAACGCCCTGCTGTACCCGTCTTCATCGGCCGGCCTCAGTTGGCAGCTGCCCAGGTATCAGCTCACTGAAACGACCGGCCGTATCACGGCGGTGTGCGGCACGTCAAGCCGTTCCTGAGAATGTGGCCGATAGACTGGAGCGAGATGAACTCAACTGCACCAGTCGGGCTATGATTTTAACAACTTCTGGCTGCGAAGCGCTGTAACCCCGAGGCTATCCTTGCAAACGCTCTGTATTTCTATACGGGGTTGTGATGTATAGAGCAAGCCTGGCGGATGATATGTCGGGGCCGCGGGGAAGACCTTTGGGCCCATCCAAGGCCTCAGGTGGCCTGTCTGGGCCCCCGAAGGCCTTTGATGGGTTCTATGGTGATATGGGTAGCCTTCACTTGAATTGATATCGCTGTCATTGGTTGTCTGTTCTCCAGCGTAATAACGATCGTTGATGGTCGTCCGTAGATAGCAAAGACAAATTAAGATTTTTCCTTGGCCACGCCATCATACATGTCTAGCGATTTTTATTGTGAGCCAGGCCGTAAGCCAAGCAGGCCCTAACGCGAAATAACGGGAAGTTCCATAGAGCAGTGAGCCGGACCGACCCGAATCGGCCAGTTCGCCTTTCGCGGGCCTATTCGCACAACCATGCAGTTTTCAGCAGCAAACAGCACGATTGTTTAGATGTCTTACCATGATGTTTGCCCAAATACTTTTAGCGGGATGCATCACCAGGCAGCGTACTTCTGCGACGTTGTAACATCACTGTTTCACCGTTCTCCCCGTTCGATTATCGCAGGGCGCGGTAACATTTTCAATTGCGAAGGAGCTGACGACCGCGGGCTTGAAGTAGGTTTGGGCCTCCCGACCAGCCGCCGCGGTGGTGTGGAAATGATCTATCCCGGCGTTGGCAAACAAACAGTCGTGCTGGCCAACGTGTGGGTCAACGTGTGCTGACTCATTCGCAGCCGTGCGCAAACCGCGGAACCGCCGTGCGTGGGCGTTTTTTAAAGGATTTATGTCAGTTCTTGATAACCAGAGCGGGTAGAAACGTGAGACCAGCTGTACGACTGGGCTGGACTGAGCGTAACATGCAGTATACAAATGGTGCAATCGGTATGTCAACACTGTGCACCGGACGAAAAATGACCAACGCGGGCGGCGGACTCGTAGACCACTATCACCATCATTTAAGTCACTGTGGGTGCCTGCTACCATCCCATCCTACTTCCCACCTGAATGCGAATTTCATTACGTGGCTCGTTACGAGTGCGTGGGCTACAATCTTTGGAGACGTGCGAACTTCGTATCTCGTAGAAGCGAGAGCTCGCAGGGTTTGTTGACGTGTTTTCTCGATAGTGGTCGCTAGTAGTAACTGTATCAGTGGGTCAGCCTGCTGATTGTGGCATCACCTACAGCCTCTTCCTGCCACATTGCTCGCCAGTGTTCGCAATTTAACTATGGCGCGTCTTTGCTCTCAGTCGGCCCTCTCTGTGCCTTATTCTGTCGTCTCCTGGTTTCGCTTGGATATTTCTGGTCATTTTTCCAAACACGCTTTGGACTCCCTCCGGCTGCCGCCTGACTAGCCGGCCGCTCCGTGCCAGTGGCTTGAGCAACGGCAGGCGCAGCTGGCCCGCTCTGCTTCTCTGGCCTTTGAGACGGACCATGACCTACTGCATTCACTTTTACGCGGCGTTCAGTGTGAATGAGGCTGCGAATCTTTAGTGAGGGTGGGGGCGTGACGGAGATGCGGTGTCCTTGGTCAAGCGTCTCGGTTGTTCGGTGGTGTTAATCCATCACGTCTTCGCTCCGCCCACCCGGGCTTTCCCTTTCGCAAGCATTTGTGCAGGGGTGACTCAACAAAACGATCGATGCGCCGTCTCGTGCAACTGCCGGTGGCGGCGTAACGAATCATTCGGAATAACTCACGTTACAAACACAATTTTATTGCGGCATAATTGTGTGCACGACTGAGCAATAAATATCAATATCATATGAGGAATAACATGCGGACTCAGGCTATTTCACGTTTCCTAGACCTAAGCACGGCTCGCGCTCCTAACACGGCGCATGTGGGCGTGGCCCGGTTTGGCGTGGGAGAGACGCCTAGCGGAGGTCTATCCGCTGTACCCGCCACCGGAGGGGGGAGGAGGGATGTACGCGTTGGAGGGGCCGCTGTGCCCGCCCGAGGACTGCGACGAACTGCTGTGTCCTCCGGAAGACCCACCGGAAGAAGAGGGACCACCGTACCCTCCAGAGGGCTGGGACGGGGCACTATAGCCTCCAGAGGGCTTGGATGGACTGAACCCACCGAAAGAGGCAGACGGGGCAGTATAGCCACCAGCAGCAGAGGAAGATGACGAGCCACTATACCCACCAGAAGGCTGGGAAGGGGCACCGTAGCCTCCAGAAGGCTGAGCTGGGGCGCTGTAACCTCCTGAGGACTGGGAGGAGGAGGAATATCCTCCACCTCCTCCACCTCCTCCACCACCACCGGCGGAATTGGAAGGACCGCCGTAGCCTCCCGATGGTGCAGCGGGAGCGCTGTAACCTCCGGAAGAACCAGAAGAAGCAGATGGGCCACCATAACTTCCAGAGGGCTGTGAGGGGGCACTGTAGCCCCCAGATGGCTGGGACGGGGCGCTGTATCCTCCCGAAGATCCAGAGGACGACGATGGGCCACCATAGCCGCCGGAAGGCTGTGAAGGCGCGCTGTAACCTCCCGAGGATCCAGAGGAAGAGGATGGGGCACCATAGCCTCCAGAAGGCTGAGACGGAGCACTGGAACCTCCCGAGGATCCAGAAGAGGAGGATGGGGCACCATAGCCTCCGGAAGGCTGAGACGGAGCACTGTAACCTCCCGAGGATCCAGAGGAAGAGGATGGGGCACCATAGCCTCCGGAGGGCTGAGACGGAGCACTGTAGCCTCCTGACGATCCAGAGGAAGAAGATGGGCCGCCATAGCCCCCAGCCGGCTGAGCAGGAGCACTGTAGCCTCCTGACGATCCAGAGGAAGAAGATGGGCCGCCGTAGCTTCCGGAGGGTTGAGCAGGAGCACTGTAGCCTCCTGACGATCCAGAGGAAGAGGATGGGGCACCATAGCCTCCAGAAGGCTGAGACGGAGCACTGTAACCTCCCGAGGATCCAGAGGAAGAGGATGGGGCACCATAACCTCCGGAAGGCTGAGACGGAGCACTGTAGCCTCCCGAGGATCCAGAGGAAGAGGATGGGCCGCCATAACCTCCGGAGGGCTGAGCAGGAGCACTGTAGCCTCCTGAGGATCCCGAGGAAGAAGATGGGCCGCCATAGCCCCCAGAGGGCTGAGCAGGGGCGCTGTAGCCTCCTGACGATCCAGAGGAAGAAGATGGGCCGCCGTAGCCTCCGGAGGGTTGAGCAGGAGCACTGTAGCCCCCTGACGATCCAGAGGAAGAAGATGGGCCGCCGTAGCTTCCGGAGGGCTGCGAAGGGGCACCGTAACCTCCAGAAGGCTGTGATGGGGCACTGTAGCCACCAGATGACTGTCCACCGCCGGATCCCCCGTAGCCACCGCCTCCGGACGACTGTCCACCGCCAGATCCTCCATAGCCGCCGCCTCCGGACGACTGTCCACCACCGGATCCTCCATAGCCACCGCCTCCGGACGACTGTCCACCGCCGGATCCTCCATAGCCGCCGCCTCCGGACGACTGTCCACCGTTAGACCCTCCGTAACCGCCGCCTCCGGACGACTGCCCACCGCCGGATCCACCATAGCCGCCGCCTCCGGACGACTGTCCACCGTTAGACCCTCCGTAACCGCCGCCTCCGGACGACTGCCCACCGCCGGATCCACCATAGCCGCCGCCTCCGGACGACTGTCCACCGTTAGACCCTCCGTAACCGCCGCCTCCGGACGACTGCCCACCGCCGGATCCACCATAGCCGCCGCCTCCGGACGACTGTCCACCGTTAGACCCTCCGTAACCGCCGCCTCCGGACGACTGCCCACCGCCGGATCCACCATAGCCGCCGCCTCCGGACGACTGTCCACCGCCGGATCCTCCGTAACCGCCGCCTCCGGACGACTGTCCACCGCCGGATCCTCCGTAGCCGCCGCCTCCGGACGACTGCCCACCACCGGATCCACCATAGCCGCCGCCTCCCGAAGACTTTGAGCTTCCCTTCACAATGCGAGGCGCGGAGAACGTCCTTGTGGAGATGGAACCTCCGCTGATGCCCTTTCCTGTGGAGAAGGCGGATGAGCCGCCGTTCGAGGGTCTGCGAGGCGCAGCCTGCGTCACACTGTAGGCCCTCGGGGCAGAGTACCCACCGTTAGACCCGCCACCGCCGGCGCCACCTTGACCACCGCCATAGCCGCCGCCACCTCCCCTGCCGCCGCCGCCGCCGCTGCCGCCGCCGCCGCCGCCGCCGCCGCCATTTCCTCGGCCGCCGCTCGGTGCGCCGTAGCCGGATTGCACGCTCGGGGCAGAGTATCCGTTGCTGCCGCCGCCTCTGCCTCCGCCGCCGCCGCCGCCGCCGCCGCCGCCGCCGCCGCCGCCGCCGCCGCCATATCCTCCCCGTCCTCCTCCTCCTCCGCCGCCGCCGCCATTGCCGGGAGCACCATATCCTG